ATATCTCTTGTGACACCGTTGTTCTAAAGACTAAGATTTACTGTAACTAATAATTTTTGGATTCAAATTGTTACCGTTGGAAATAAATTTTCACAGAATTCTTAACTGTTATATAAATTTATTATAGTACCACAAAATATTCTATATGTAATTAATTATAGTAAAATTATAAATTTTTTTTATTTTTTTAGAATATAATTTTAATTTTTAAGTATTTTTAAATCTAAATTTTTTTATATTTTTTTTATTTATTAATGTTTTACATTTTTTTTCTCTCTTTTTCATATATATATCTCCTATTTTATATCTTTTTTAAATACTGTACATTACAACAACAAAAAATAATTTTCATTCATTTCATCCTTAACGCTTCCATACATAACACGAAAATATCAAAAATTGTGAATGCATTTAATATGGCCAATTGAATATTATTTAAAAAAAAATTTTTTATATATACATCTTGCTTGTGTTTAATAATTGAAATATATAAAAAAAAATTTAAAGCAAAATATACAGGTGTATTTGAAATCGCTCCCCATTGTTCAACTCAATTAGACAACATTCGTATGTGCTTAAAAGGTAAAAAATAAAATACCAAAAAAAAAAAATCATTCACTTTTTAATAATTAATATTTTAAATATTATTGGACTAAAAAATTTAAGTTCATAATTTTGTATACTCGTAAATAATAACAATAATATTAACTAATTTTATAATAATTAATAATAATTAAGGAGAATATAAGTGGCAAACCCAACATTTAAATGGTTTCACTGTTATTTAAATATTTTTTTTCTTTTTTGGTGTAAAAGTGTATAATAACTAAAATATTAATAATATTAAATAAAATCAACATTATAATTATTATTTTTATAAATAATGTGAAGGACCCCTTGGTTGTAATTTAATACCAATACTAGAAGGGAATACGAAAAAAAAATTCATGTGCAAATATGCAACACAAGGGAAGATTTATGTACGAAAAAATGTTTTGCTGGTGATGGAAATTTCAATATTAACTCTTTTTTGTACTCAATTTCATGTTATATGTATGGTTTGGTGTTTTTTTTTTTTTGTACGTAACTAACATTTTATCATGTAGTTAACAAAATATTAACTTAAGTTGGAAAAAAATAAAACTTTTTCTTTGACTTGTTTTTTTTTTCTTTATTATCCTTTTTTTATGTTCCTTGTAACTTTTTTTTTTTGGAAAATATATAAGAATACTTGTAAGAATTTTATTTTTATAATGTTATTTCTTTTCAGGAAGAAGACCATAATAAACAGTTTATTTAAGTTACTATAATTTATTATGTTAGGTGATAATCAAAGACTAAGCTATTCTACTTTTGTAAATGTTGGGATAACAGTCTTTTCCGATTTTCTGTAATATATTCCATAAAATTCTATAATCAGTTTGTGTATAGGGCAACTTTTTTCAGAGTAAATGAGGTTAAGAATTAATTTTTTTTTTAATTCAAACCGGTCTAATTTTTCTAGTTGGAACATTTTGAAAATTATTAAAGTTCATTTATATTATCTAAAATTATTCGTTTAAGTATATCGTGAAAAAAAAAACAATGTGAGGTTGAACGTGAGAACAGCTAAATAAAAATAATAAAAAAAATTATTCTAAACACGAAAACATTTTTTTTTTTTTACAAATTTTGAATGCTTTTAAATTTGGTCCGATTCTTCAACCAAATTTTTGCAGAAATTTATGATCAATTATATGATTACAATATCCCCTTGTGCAGGTAGTGCCAAACTATTTTTTAAATGAATACACGACTTTGTCATTTCATATCTAAATATTTAAATCCCTCTCTCTAACTTTACATCCCCCTAAAGAAAAAAGCGGATGAGAAGTATAAGAAACTTGGGATGAGAAACAAAAATAATTATTTAAAATTGAAAAATATGCAATTTGAAGAATTTTAAAAAATCTTATCTTAAGACTTATTTTGATGTTTTATTATAATTATCCTGATTATTATAATGGTATGTGTTCTTTTCAGCATCAGACACTATAAAATTAAAAAAAGTTTTTTTGGATTTCATTTGCATATAACAGATCTTTTATAACAATCAAAATATTTTTATGTAAATCCATATATGTATATAAATGCACTTATATAAATATTGATTTGTGTATATATTTTTCAATTACAATAAAAAAATATGAGTATACATATAGCATATGTGTATATGTATATTAAAAAAAAAGAAAAAAAGATTGAAAAAGAAACGTAAAAAACTTTCATATATAAAGAGGCGGAAAATCTAATTTATTTATTTTGTCTTATTCCTGGAAAAATTCCTGAAAAATAAACTAAAGTTTCAAATTAAATTTCATGTCATTTTCTTTTTATTAGATATTACCCCTTTTTTTCAATATGATCATTTCCAAAGTATGGAATGGATGTAGTAAAAGAAGCAATATAATACAAGTAAAAGCAATATTAAAAAATAAAATAAAAATTGCAGAAAGAAAAAACAAATTTAATTTTCATATTTTAATTAAAAATAAAAAAGAAAAATATTAGAAGTGTTCATATATTTACAAACAAAAAATATTTGATTAACTTTGACAACACTGTAGATATGGGGAATTCAAATAAAAACTAGTTTTTGTTGATTTTGAATGAAAATTATATTGAGTCTTTAAAATTGTTTCAGAGCTAACATTACTTGTAACTTATGATTTAAGATTTTAGAATAAAAATTTAGAATAGTGTGAGTAAAGAAATGTGTTATTCAAAGAAATTTTTAATTCACAATTATACTAGCCCTGATTTATTTAGTTCTAAAACAAGTTCTATAACAAAAAATTATGATTAAAGAAAACTTTGAACGGAAAAAAATTACAAATTGAGATTCAAATTGCAATTAAATTCCGAATGAAATTAAATTAAATTTAATCAATATGAGAAATATGTATATTTGTAATATCCTACTCGTAAGTGTATTGCAAATTATTAACTTTTACATTTCAGAACTTTGAATAAAGTTCAAAAAAATTTTTTTTGAGTTGAGAATGTCAAAACAAAAGAAAATTCAATTTTGTAATATAGGTGTAAAATTGCACTGTTTTTTTGACCATTTTTTTCATTTGAATAATATATTGTCATTTGAGAACCTTTATTTTGATTGATAGTAATGTATGAACTAGTTTCGAAATTATTTTTCAAATTCATTTTCACATATTGTTGCTATACCCTTTTTTCATATGAATCCATTGAAATAAGTTGGATACACAATGTTATTAAAATGAAGTTTTGCAAATTTGAAGTAAAAATAATTCTAATTAAATTAATTATAGAATTTTTATAAAATTAATTTTCCTTTCAAATTAATTCACATTAATTATGGAATCACAGAATTATATTCCTATAACACAATTTCGTGTTAGTTAACTAAAATTTTTATTATATTTTATGACAATCAAGAATATTATAAATAAAAGCAAAATTTACTTCTTATTTATAAATATTAAGAAATCTATTCAATTTATAAGAAAGACAAACTTCTTTTAAATTTCTTCACCCATTCCTGAATTTAAATTTCCCATGATAGTCTCATTAAAATCTAAGTGTTGAATAACTAACTATAATTAACTGAAGAGTTCATTTCGTATTATTTGTTTTACTTTTGATTTAGAAGTTTCTAGAAAAATCTTTACATCTTATTGAAGAGATAAAAATTTTCCTGGAATTTCATGTTGTTTCTTTTTCACTGGAAATAATATTCCAGTATAAGAAAAACACAAAAGAATTCTTCAAAGGGATAGTTCTTTATAAGAAGAATAAAATTCAAACTTTCATTTTACTTTATTACCCTTAATGGTAACGATTATCGTCATTATTTTACCTATACATCTAAAACATTTTTTGGCCTCAGAATTATTATAAAAAAAATAAGATATTTATCCAACATTTTTTTCTTTTGAAATAAAATAAAATTTGTCCTTTTAAAGATATAAAGGAAATATATAATTTTAATCTATAAAGAAATAATTTCAGAGTTCTCTTGATCATTATAGCTACAAGTTAAATATTTTTAACACAAAACATTTACGTTAATTATCCATTTTAGGAAACAAAAAAATTTAACGAAATTCTTTTTCGAAATTATATAAATGTGACGTGAATGGTTAGAATAGTTTTGTTATACAAATAAAATAATCCATAATTTATAAAATAATATTTCCATCCTTTAAAAACTATATTAAATGTACACAAGCATATTTATAACATAAAACACAAAGTTTTGCCTTAAAATACATAATTAAAAAAGTATAAACGAACTGACAGATTTGAGTGCCTACTTATTCCATTTTTTTTCGCAAAGTAATTTTAAAGTAAAAGTAAGTGCTATTGATTTTATATTGAAAAATAATTGAAACTCTTTAGGTTACACTTAATAATATAACGTTGTGTTATTAAGCGATTAAAGAAAATATTTAATTAGAGAATTAAAGCGACTTATCCAGATTATTTCTATACTTGCACTAAATTTAATATCGAATGATATATACATATAAATACATTGATAACAACAGAATACAATTTAAATGAAAATTAATTAAATGCACAGAGCAAATACAATGCAACATTACAAACTCACATTTTTATTAAGCACAATGCAATTAGATATACATTCAAATGAAAAGAAAATTTATTGCTTATTTTTTCAGATAATTACTAGAATTGATTCAATAATTTCTGAAATGTTATTGTACATACAGACTTGATTATATAAAAAAATCTATACATTTTATATAAGTACAAGATGGAATCTAATATTAATAATATGGTATCTAATAGCACGATTGTTTATGCTTGACACAAACAAGTTTTTGATGTTGTTTCTAAAAAAAAAGAAAAAAGTTTAATAATAAATATTTTATTAATCCATTTAAATAATTCAAAATTTCATGCTAAATCTATTCCTATTGAATTATTAACAATATTTTATTTTTTTTGCATATTTACAGTAACAAGATTAAGAGAGCATTGGGACGAGACATCATCATGTGTATTACAAAGAGCTTCACAATTGAAAAATATGTTAGGTGACTCGCAAAGGTTAGTTCAAATAAAAATTTTGAAATGCTTTTGTTGTATAATTTCATCCTAAAATTAAAAAATTTAGAATCCAAATTTAAATGAAAACAAAAATTGCAATAAAGATCTTCTATATAGAAAAATTTTAAAACGCTAATTTTTAAAAGCTAATATGTACAAAATATGCTTTGAATAGAAATATCTTTTAAATATTCTACAGTCTACGCTTCAACATATTTATTAATCTATATTATGTATAATAAAATCTAATATTATTTTAATCGAAAAAAAAAAAATATTTTTCATAATTTAATAATATTTAGATATGAAAGCAAACGTCTTGAAATTGAAACATGGCTATCACGTATGGAAAATCGTTGTGAACGTATGGGATCTGTTGCAACAACAGCTGACGTTTTAGAAGCACAACAAAAGGAACAAAAGGTAAAAAAAATTTATATAAAAGCAAAAATTGTGTGATTACGAAAGTTTTTTGGCTTAACATAAGAAGAACACAAAATAACAGATATCACAATTTTGTGGTACCACACAATTTTAATGTATGATTCTTGCCAAAGTATAAACCATAAACCATAAAAATATCAAAAAGGATAATTTCTTGCAAGTGTTCAAGTTGTTTTTTAAATGTAATTATTTTACCGTATCTTTTTCGTGGAAAATATTGAAAAATATGATGTAAAATTGGTTGGGTGAAATTTTAATGGCTTAACATAATTTTAGTTTTCAATTTAATTTTCTTGTTTCTAAAAGGTATAAGTTTTCAGTTTCTTAAACTACTTTGGCACAGAATATAAAAAATGTTTTTAAGTTATTAATATTTTTAAGAATTTGGCGACAATACAAAGTTTTGATATAAAATGAAATTGAAAATTTTTGAATGTTATTGTGGTCGTAATGATGTAGGAAATGTTGGATTTTGATTATTTTGCGATTTAGAGAGATAGTTTCTATCAATGAAGCATTTTTAAATTCACTCCTCACAAAACAAAATGTCAAACAAAATGGCAAGTGTGAAAGTACTAAAAGGTCAGGAAAAAAAATCAGCTCGATCAGTTTTTCGGAAAATATTTTCAAGCAAAATTGTACTTTCAGTTTCTGTTTATTTCAACTCAGTTTCGAAGACTGTATGAAAAAAAAGTAATTAAATTCCTCGGTAATCTTTATATTTGCATAAATTAATCTATTTCAAGGATATGAAATGAACAAATAGTTAATTACTCGTATAAGTAAAAATTGTATGTGTCTGCATATGCTGATAAATCAACAAACTTATGCTCCTATCTATCTGATGTGTTTTTAAACACGTATTTTGCATAAAACAAAAAAAATATGCAAAAAATTCATTCGATTGAATTCGTGCGCTTTGTACATACACTCCAATCCCAATTATAAATATCGATATCTACTTCATATTTCGACTTTCAATATAACATAAATGTATACATATATACATCACAGTCAAACTGTACAAGAACCACGCATTATCAATGAGAATGTTTCCTTTAAATATGTGTTGTGTTCCAATGCATCGACTATATTTTTTATTATTGAATATTACAGATCTAGATATAGATAAATAGCTTTTGTTTCTAAAAGCTGTTGTTTTTAATAGTTATCTATCTAAATCTGCTTATATTTTGCACTCTGACTATGCTTTTGCCTATCTGTTTACAACACGTACTCAGGTTTTCTAATATGAAGTTTAAATTAAGAAAGTTAGTGGTAAAGAAACCTTAGGAAACGATTTGTGTGACCTTTCCCTTATATTTCAAAGTTCCAGAAATGAAAGTTTTTGTTAGCCAAATTTTGTCTAAACTATAAATAAACTTTAGGTTCACGGAAGTGCAAAAAGTGGTTAGACCCGAGAAATATGTATGTGCCGGGATGTTAACTATGCAAATACTAGTATGTCAAATTGCTCTTTTAATTCATCAGCTTCTTGAACACATTTTTCTTAAATTTTTGAAGTTATTTTGTCTGTAAATTGTATGAATTCGATTTTTTTTATTGTATTACAATAAAATTTCTTCCCAAAAAATTCTAAAAGGAAAATTTAGAGACCGAATTGTATCTGAATTTAACTGACAGCAAACGGTTTTTACCGACCGCATTTTAGTATAATAAGGGAAAATATGTGATGGCACCAAATTTTGTTTGTCGGGTTTTTCGCGGAAACACACTAAATTAACTATTTTTGACGAGGTTCCTTTTTACAATATCCGAGATACACCGGGTCTGAAATAAACACAGTTCTTTTACTGTTCGCGAAATCCAACACATTCTACTTTTGAAGAATTTTAAACCACTATTTTTTTTTTCAAATATATATATTTAGTAAAAACACAGTTGTACATTTATACATACGTATATATATTCATACAAAATTCTTTGAATACGCTTTAAATGGTTTTCCATCATTGAAGGCATATTGTGTCTATTCAAACCTTATTGATGTAGATTTACTTTGACTAATTTATAACGTTTTTGTTTTAATTATTTTTTTCTTTTTATTTTTTTTTAAACTAAAACTATTTAAAGTCTTTCCATGCTGAGTTGCATCAATACAAGCATCATATAGAATTGTTCAATGCTTTAACACAAAAGTTAATTGCAGTTTATCCAACTGATGATACATCACGTATTAAAAGAATGACAGAAGCAGTCAATCAAAGGTAAGTGTTAAAGAGACCACTAAAGCTTTGGAATTAACTATGTATGTATACGGTATATACCAATGAATATATTATTCGCTCGTACTCTTATATTATTGGTTGTATATGCTCAATTATGATTTGCAATCCTGCAAAATTTTAAAATTTCAGTTTAAATTTATACTTACATGTATTTATAGAAGATTTTAAACATTTTGAAATGAAAGAAGAATCTTAATAATTTTTGAATTTTACATGGAAAATTAGTTACCCCATGCATTGAAAGTTTAAAAATGTGTGCTGTTACTTCCATTCCCTAACAAAATAAAAAAACAAGAAAAATGCTATGTTTTACGTTCTATACATACTTATGAATTCTTCGAAATTCAAGCATATAGCCAAGCATATTTGCATTAATAGTATGTATGACCGAAAATTGTATTTATATAAGTTTCCGCGTATAAAAGCGTGCAGGGTCAGCTATAGCTTTATATCTATAGTGTAGCAAGCATAACAATATACATACATGTTAACAATATAAAATTGCATACTTTTATGGATTAATACTGTAGATACATACATATTTTGTATAAATACTGCAATTATTTCTCAAAAAATATGTAATTTTCAATTTATATACGAAAATATAAAAAGATAAAAATAATTATTTCTTATTTCAGGTACAATAATTTAAATAATGCTGTTATAAATCGTGGAAAATTATTGCACGCTGCTGTACATAATTTACAATCATTTGACAGATCCATGGATCAGGTAAACATTTTCTTATATTATGTACCTATATATGTGCATACATCTGAGTTTTTGAATTCTTGCTTTCATCATATCAGACTTATATAGTTATAAGTTTATTAAAAATGCCGGGCAGATCTAAAACTTAAGTGACAATGAATTTTTTACAAGTTTGAATAAAAACTTTTATTGATAGTTGTAAAAATTAAAATTCAAGCGAATTGAATGCATAAATTCCTAAAAATTTCATTCACTTCAAAATTTTCCTAACATTTATAACTTTACTAATAAAAGAATTTATTTTATTCTCTTTGAATCCCATGTTGTTCAAAACACAATTTAAAGAGATTCCAAATTATTATGACGTCTTTAATAGCGCCTTACTGTAATGCAAATATTTGACAATGGCAATACAATACAAACCTTTTTTTTAAACTTTTCTTTTTATTTAAACGCCATCATTGAGCTTTTTTACTTATTTCTCTTAAAACCATATTAATTTATTATTAATAAAATTATTGATAAAAATATTATTTCTTACAGTTCTTAGCTTTCTTGTCTGAAGCAGAATCATTATGTGAAAATGCTGAAGCGGAAATCGACAGAAATCCAATGGTGCTAAAGGTAAGTGCTAAAAACATTTTTTACTTTTTGTAAAATATGCAAAACATTGTGCTAAATGATTATTTTCTTTGCTAAATTCACTTGATTTTAAAACGAAAAATTTTTGGAGACTTTTTTTACATTTATAATTTGAAAGTAGGTGAAAGTGGTCCGTACCTGATCTTAAAATACGGTGAATTTTATCATTATTTTATCACTATTTGGTTTGTGACTTAGATACAATTTCATTGTTACATTTAATTTTCAATAGATAGCGGAAAAGTATAAAATATAAAATGAAAAGGTTTTTGAGTTGACTAAAATTAATTAAAAAATTATGAGAAAAATTTTGTATTTTACCGTTTTATTCGAAAAGTTTTTCGGTTTTGTTGTGGGTTTAGATCTTAGAAAAGAAATTATGTATGTATTTTGATGTTTTATTTGAACGAAAATTTTATTCAAAATTAAAATTTGTTTTATATTGAAAAAATCATGTTTCTGGGTATTTTTCTGAAACACATACTTTCCTAATTGAAATTGAAATTTTTATGGCAAATAACGAGTGAAGAAGGTATGAAACCTTTAGTACAAAAAAATTTTTTGGAAAAATTGGTGTTTGTACAATTTTTACGATGTATTCGCTGTTGAATGACAAAAATTATTGGTCCTTATTATGAAAAAAATATTTCGTACGATATTTCTTATCAGAAGCATTGTACGACATATTTTTTTCATAATAAAGGCCATTGTGTTTGTTTTAAAAATTTCCTGACAAAAAAAATAAATTAGGCACGAATCAGGTGTGTTGGCAGAATAAAATTTTTAAACGATATGTTTGTAAGGATTAATGTTACAAGTATTCATGTTACGCAACTAAGCCATATGAAAAATTAATTTTACTTGTAATTTCTTTGAAATTTTAGAGTCGCTCTTCTATTTCTTTGCTTCAGAAAATATTTGCAAAATCCGAATTCAATTAAAACATTGGTTAATATTACTATTTTTTAAACTATAAAACTAATTCAAATGTCCACTAAAATGAGACGCTGAATGAATCAATTAAAATTGATTTGAATTGATTGAAATTAGAAAAATTTAACATTTTTTAGCGTCGTATTAAAATGCACATATGTAAGCTTAAAAACTTTCAATACCAATAACTTGTTCGTTGAATAGAATTCTACTTATCAGCACTGATGAATTAAAAATATTGTCTCAAGTTTTGACTCTTATTTTGTCTAACTTTTTTTCTTCTTTTCTTCCTATTACATGGCACATGACGTATCGGTAGTTACCTCTTCTGTTCTTTTATTTTTATAACACATACCAATACATATACAAACACAATATACATTTAAAACATAATATATATATACAAAGATTGTTATATATACATTTTATATGTATTCAAATGCATTGCTGTTTTTTTTTAGTTGTTGTATTTCTATTCATAAATTTTCTATTTACGTTTACTGCAACTCTTGAATTAATAAGCTTGCAACAACTTGACCCCATTTTGACACATCTTTTTCACATTTTCATATTTTAAATAAATATGTAAGTAAATTTATTTCTTATTTGTGTAGGTATACAGGAGATTTCTACTTATGCATGTATATTGCAAAATATTTATTTTCTTTTTTTTTCTATCGTATAATATGTACGTCCTGTGGAACGGATATACACGAGAGTACATAATTCAAAGAAAATCTTATAAAAAAAATGAAAAGCAAAAAGAAGAAAAGGTAAAATAAAATTAAAACAGTAATTAAAAATATAATTTTACGAAGGAGACTTCGAAATTGTGTGCTACCGTACATTGTTAAGGTTTTAATTAAATAAAAAAGGACGTGATTTGAAGAAGAAGATAATATGGTTGGCATAATTTTATGGAATAGTGAAAATTTTCCATTTTAGCATATTATGAAATTTAAAGTATTCTTATATAGATTTTTAATTTTTTTATTATGTATACAGTTTGATATTTTATTAAAATTCAAATTCTATTGGGATTTATTATTAAAAATTCTTTAAGAATTGGTTTAGATAAAATATCAATTTTTTTTTATTAAATATGTATTATATAATATTTTTGTTTGGCTGGGATCATTATCGTTTTGGTTGGAATTTCAGCTCAAACTGTAGGTGGAAGAGTGTAGAGGTACAACTTTTGCGTTAAATTGAGTATTTTAAACCTTAATAATTTTTAATTGAAAAATTATTTTCTTCTTAAATTCACTTATTATTTTAATTACTCAATTTGTGACTAGTGTATTTTTTTTCGATATAAATGTTATTCAAATTAGTAACAGGATTAGCATGGTAAAATAAATAAACTTCACATTAGTAACAATAAGCTTATTTAAAAAGTGACCGTTCTAAAGAAGAGATGCCACATAAATTGACAAAAGACCTATTTGATTTGATTATCTGGAACTCTTTGAGTCAGAATTCTTCGGGGTAATAATGAATTTGTTGGTATTCTCTGCATCAAAATTTAAAAAAAATATAAACCTTGACGTTTTCGCTTGTTGAAAAACTGTTCACTTATTTTTATCCCGAAACAAAGAACTATTTTATTTAAAATTAAAATAGGATTTATTTTGATTTTTTTTATATGCATAAAAATGAAATTTAACACAAAAAATGCAAAAAAAAAGAAAAAGTTTATTCAGGAAAATTGTGCACAGGAAAAAAATTAGTTTTAATTTTTTTCTCCTTTTTTCCCTCCAACTTTTTTATTCGGTTTGTATTCATAAAAGTGAAGAAATACTATATCTTGCTTTTGGAATTTAATTATGAAGTGGTCGCGCCAAATTTTAAAATTAAAACAGCATTATGTTGATAAAAGACGCAGACATTATGTTATATAATTATGTCTGTTTCTTTTGTTATAATATAAATTTCAATATATACATACGTGTAAGAATTATATTTGCGAGATACGTATATTAAAATTCACCGCTCCATTTGTAACCCAGCCACATACAAAAAGTATTTACACAGACATTTTGCGTACAATTGAGTTATAGATTCATTATCTGTTCCATCTATCTTTACGACTATTAAAACTGGGTTCAGGTAAATCCACTAAAATTATTTTCATGTAAAATAGTTCAAAATAGTAGTTAAGTTCATTTAAGTGCGTAGTGACATTTAGTCATATTTCAAAAACTAAAGTTTTTGATTCGATGTTACTATTCTGATTATAATGCTACAACTTGATTTTTAAACTTAGTAGAGAACGAAATGGGCTGCAAATTTCAAAATTGGGTGATGTGAAAGCCATATACTGCAAGTTTTCAACACTGCCATGCTACAACTTGGTCCAATTTAAATTTCAATTCAAATAGAACCAAAAAATACATAACAGTTATTTATTTAATTGTTTATTTTCAGGTTTGATTTAGAACTTTATATTCTGATTAAGAGTTATAAGACCTGGAACAATGTTTTCCTTTCAATCATATTTTCTGTAGAAATTTGCTTTATTTTCAAATATTAGCCATTCCATGTACAAAACATAAAATGAAAATAGTTTCTACCAAAACCATGTTGGGTAAATCATTAAACTCTTCAACATTTTTGTTTTTCCATCTTTTTATAATATTTAATCTACGTTTACATAATATCCTGAAATGACTATCACCGCGACTATACAGTTATATTTCAATTTATACATTTTATAAATATAATGGTTAAGAAAAACATTATTTATTTGCAGCACATAGCATGTTTTTATATAGTTGTGTATATAGTTTACGAATTTTGTGTGTGTCATGTTATTAAAGTAATATTTTTCTCATTTTGATTCACCTTTTTAATCACCTTTTTTTTTTAAATTTTTATGTCACTTTTTAATTAAAGTTGTTGCTTTTTTGTTATTTAATTTTTTTTTACCTCGTTTACTTTGCTTAATGAAAAATAAAGATTTTCTTTTGTATAACATTTTTGGGGTCGCATCGTTTTTTTCATCTATATGTTATCTATGTACTATGTATGTATAATTATGTATATAATGTGTGCAACTCGAACCATATTACTTTTAAAATATTTAAATGTGTAATGCAAAAAATTTTTTTTCGTTCCATTTTATAGTTTTTTTTTTTGAAAAGAAAAGTAATTTGATGATATGTGAATAGCCTGCGAATATTGCTGTTGGTAGATAGACGACCTATAAAACAGGAAAAAAAAAAAACGAAAAATAGTGTGCAAAAATGTCAAGCAAAATTTGTACTCACATTCGCATATAAGATGAGAGAGAAAAAAAAATTAAAATTAGGGTTAGCCAAAATTAGAGCACCAAAATCATTTTCAGGATTTCATTTATATGAGAAATTCAATGGTCCATATGTTAATACAAATTATTATTTATTACATGTGTGTTGTATCAGGGAAAAAGTATGCATGTCTGTTATAACAAAATAGGAAAAAAACGAACTGATTAAATACCTTCAAGCGCCTTCATTTTCTATTTGCAAATGCAACACAGTTTATGGTGTATAATATGGTATTGCTGCTTGTTCCTCAAAATGGATTTAGACTGAAATTTATTTCAATTTTTTAAGTACTTTTGAAATATATCAAATGTTAGTATAATCAGTTTAAGATCAAAAATAATTGTAAAGTGAATCCATTTTTCTTATAAATTAATATAATAATAGTTTTCTTGATTAATAATTAGGTTTTATGGTATGTATATTATATGTAGGAGTTTAAATAATAGAGGGCAACTGGAACTATTATTTATTTAAGTGTCCTTAGGATCTTTTTGCACTTGAGAAATATTAATATTTAATTTCATTCGGTGTTTATGAATAAAGTTAAATATTAATTTTTTGCATAGTTTACATATTCATGCTAAGCATATTTTGTAATTCTAAATGTTTATTAAGCATACATATGAGAATAATGAAAATCGTTAAGAATATTTTAAATTTTTAATTTTTTTTATTTTTTTAATATATTTGTTTTACATTGTGAAGAGTAGGTGATTAAAACAAAGATTTTACATATTGTAATGGTATTAAATGTTTGAGATTTTGAAAGATGTTTTAAAATATTTACACTAAAATTTTTAGAATATGCAAGAAAGGATAACAACATAAAAGTAATGAAATTGTGACAAATTCGT